ACTACATAAACCTTATAAATATACATAAACCCAGCAACTGTCATACTGCTTTGGAAAACCCCAAACAAGCCATACATGCCAGTTTCCTACTCCATACCCCCAAATTGGGGTTATAAACTTATGGTCATCAACTCAACATATAGATTTCYGAGAAAGCTGTAGTCAGACAGCCCTAAAATTTTGAAAAGTGTTTTAAAGTTTAATGGTGTGTGCAGACAAAACTGCAGTTCACTGACTTTTTGCTCTTTTGGGTATACATATCATTACATCCGAAATCGCAACGGCTGAGATGAACGTCCATGCGCTTACGGGATTTTGGTGGTTGGTCTTATAGAACATAAGTTTCCTGGAGAGTAAGGATTGATATCAACAAGTTCTATTACGTTTATCTTTATTGCTGCTACAGCAAAACATTGAAATAATCTGAAAATATTCTGATTTGCAYGTTAATAATAAATATTTTATCTGTTCCATTGGTTTTTAATTTCTTATGCCCTATGTTTTCTGCCAAAGTTAATTATTCTAATTCTGAAGCGGTGTTTTTTGTAAAAGGGACAGGGGGTATTCTTATAGTGCATTTCTTCCGACAAAAGTTTACTCAGTTATTCTATTCTGATGCTGTTAACAAAGCAAAATGTGAATTTAACCACAGACTCAAAAGACGGATAATACCTTGAYCCAAGGAAAATGAAGTGAACACCATATCACCGGGGTACAAAGTTGCAGATATATGGAAAACTAGTGAAGAAAAACACCACCACTACATCTCAGCGCCACTCTGTGCTTTTCCTGTTTCCATTCAGGTTTTCATGACACTGTCAAGACAGAAAAATGACTATCTCTAAATTAAACAACAGAAGAAAATACTCCTACGCTGAGGGACTGCTAGCTTTTAACATCCAAAGTAAACAAATATACAAATCTTCACTTTAAGAAAGTGAAGGTCTTAAGTGCTAAATTAACAATAGCAAAATTAACTGAATGAACAGATTTTCACTTCTTCCCTGAAGTTATAAGTCTTCTTTAAGGTTCTCAACTCAAATAATAGCTTCCTAATTCTGCCAGTATTAGAGTTAGCCCATTTTGTCAGAACAAATGTCTATCCAGACATCACTTGCAGAAATACGTCTTTAAGTTCAATTTTCTGGTCAAGAACAGTAGGCAAATCTTAAAGGACTAGATCTCTCTCTGCATGACTACCTTTCAAAACATATGGTGGAACAGAGCATAAAATTCAGTCTACTTTTGGAGATTTTTTAGTTGGTAAGATCCACCTTGACCTGCCAAACTGATGCATAGAAACTGATGTATCATCTATATGATTAGACATAATAAATAAAACATACTGGGTATACTAATTGTAGAGTGTCTGCATCCCAGATATATCTATTTATACTCTCTTTAGTTGCAGGAACTGAAAGTCAAATTTTCACTTGTTTTGATTTAAACTTTTTTTGGAAATTAACCTTATAGTCATAAATCACCACTGATTACTTTAATAGGGTCATTTAGGATGTGGAAATGTCTCTATAAGTTCATAAATTTTCTTGATAATTTTATGACTATAGCTTTTATATTGTAATTCTGCCAATTCATGCATGTGGCATTATGCCATAAATTACCACACTTATTTTGGCGTGATTTGCAGTATTCATGAACACTGCCTCTATTACTTAGATAGGTAACCTACTGAAATACAGAGTTCAACATCCAAAATAAAGGAATACTCAGAAATAAACAATAGGTGATAGGGTAGGTAATGGGATTTTCCAGATGATTTGGGATGCAGCTCTAAATGAAAGATAAAAAAAACCCAAAACATAAATGCTCAGATGTTTGAAGGATTCTTCAAAGTCCAGCTTAGAAGAACATTCCAATGACCGGCACTCATGCCAAGACTTCTAGTGAGGCAGATGTAGGAAAAGCCAAGTGTTAAGTGAAGCACAAGTTTGAGAAAAAACAACTAAGCAGTAACCCTCACTATAATATTAACTTGGATAGATACCTTTCCTAATGTTTAAGATAAAATGTATATTATGTGAGCTATTAATATTTTTGGGGAAAAGTTGTTAGGCTTGATTATAAACCAGATGATATAAAAAATATTATGAACATGTCACACTGATATTGAACATAATTAGTTCTCAGGCCTTCAGACTTGCACATATTTATGCTTTTACATCTGAGTAGGTCCACTAAAATCAATCATATGTATCAAATACAATTAAATCAATTTATACAGATTACACACCAAATCAAATTATGTCAGATTATTCACCAAGTGCCTAGGAAATAAAACACCTTCTCCAACAAAAATAGCCCATTCAATACAAAACGACTGCGTATTTTTGGTATAATAGGCTGCAGCTTAATCATTTCAACCTTTAATTACCGCATGAGATAATGAATATTTCGAGCATATGCTTCTCCGTGCGGCTTGAAGACATGAATGAAAGGGCAGTTGATCTGCATGCTCGGGCATGTGCACGCTGGGGGAGGGAGCTGCGCGAAGCTATGAAAGGAACCAAGGGGCAACAATTGGAGGAAAGGGTATCTGTGGCAGCTGCTCCTTTCAGATTCCCCTAGAAGGAGACTGCCCGAGGTGGCCCACAGCACAAAAGGATAAAGAAGATGAAAACTCTGATGCAGAGCAGGAAAATAACTGCTGAGACCCCCGAGCCCGCACGCGAATGGGCGCAAGCTGTGTGGCAGGCCCTCTTTAGCATGCTACTGAAGCTGGTGATGAACTACATATTACCAAGAGGCAAGCGGGCTCCTAGGAGCATTGTCTGCGTGGTGTGTGTAATGATAACCAGCGGTCCCGCGGGAACGGCAGGCAACGATTTCATCTCCGTAAGCATCTGAGCTCCCCTTGGATACAGAGACCATTAAACTGGGAACAGAAGGGTAAATTTCAGGCAATGATTTCTAATTGGAGAGTGAAGACAACTTGTGCTCAACAGCACTGTCAACCACTGATATTTTACTGCTGTCTATATTGATCACTATTAAGGACAAAAGGAAATGCACAATACATTTTCTGTATGAAAACACTTCACAGGTTTCCTAGGTAATGTTATATGAAATGTTACTATCTTAGGAATCCTTGTTTATACTTCCAACTACTAGTATTTTCATTACAGTTATAACATTTTATACTCTAACATGAAGTACATCATTTATGTTTTGTACCATAGATGCTTTCTATCCTTTTTCATAAAAATACACTTCACTTTCCAAACCTGCCATGTATTATTGTAAAATTAAAAAAAGGCACAAACTCTTATGCATATATTTTAAATTAACAGAATTACTTTACAAAATTTAAGATTCCAGATTCTTCGTTAAAAAAAAAAATGTTCACATGATAAAGAAATGAATTTCTAAATGATCCCTGCAACTTTTCTTTTTTCACTTTTTGAAGAGGTGGGGGGTGCAGAGAGGACAGGGAAAGGGGTAGAAATAAAAATCAAGCAAAACAAACCCTTAAGAAATAGTATCAGGACACATAATGTTTTTGGCGGGGCAAAGCTAGTTTGATCCTTTGTTTATCATGCAGACTACATGGTGTTGTTGGTTTACAAATTTCTCCTGTGGTGCAGAAATCAATGGGCCAGCACACACTTTATTTAGCTCATTTATTTACTTTGCTGCTCTTCATCACCCACATAGCTTATTGACTCTCAAAAACTTAATAAGAAAGGTTGACACAGCAGAAATGCTTTCAACTTGTCAGTCGAAAAAAGAATGAAGAGGTAGATGAATTTCAGCACAGGAAATTCTAGCCTAATCTGTCAAACTATTTTTGGAAGAGAGCAAATATCCTCTCTTTCATTGCTGCTGCAACCATCAGGTAGAGTTGATAAAATTATATGTGGCTTCTCATTTTGAAATACCTTCACATTAAGCTGCAGATTCTAACTGAAACCGAAATGAGAGCAGGCTCTCTGGCTTTACTGAAACTAGAAATTCTTTATCTTACAACATGCACTTTCTGCTTTCCAGAATTCATTTTATTTATACAGAAGAAAGGCATATTAGCATTGAAGAACTATATATAAGTACAGTCAAGAACTTCTGGAAAAAATACATCACAAATCATTAACAATATGCAACCGCATATTTGAGCAGGGACGTGCAGCATCCACCCAATATTACAGAAGACAAGTAAGCCATAGCAAAACCTTCATGCTCAATTCACTCTAGGGTTTCTCCTGGTCTATATCCAAACATACTCAAACAACTATTTTTCCAAAATCATTTTTAAATTGGTTTTGGTTCGCTGGTGACGAGTACAGACAAATCAAATTGATACTCAGCTTCCCTCTCAAATTGACCTATGATGGACTAGAGGAACCCCCTTATGCTCTTATCTCATGTAGAACTCTCACCTTCCTTAGCTGTCATCTATGGAAAGCTCAAGGGAAACATGACAAGAGGAGCATGAATTAAAGCAACCGCAAGAGCTTGTTGACACCCACAGCAAATCACGTTTCTTCCACATTCCTGATGCTTTGAAAAGCATCATATGATAAAAAAAGATAGGAAAAGCACAACACATAGACTGATATATTTGTAACTGTTTCACACAAAGATGTCATACCAAACTAGTTTCCATAATTCCAAAATTGATGCCATTGTTTACATTATGTATGAGTATGCGTACACACATATATATGTATATAGTATGTGTTTGTATATATGGATGTATGAATACAGGAAAAAATGTGTAACTTCAATTTCTAACTTATTTTACTTGTGCAGATCCAAGGCTGGAAACATGGACTCAGAGGGCCTAAGGAAAGTTCCCTAAGTTCTGGAATGTTTTGAGATCATAATTTCTTGAACTACATGGATCCCTGTTGATGGAACTAGATAGAAGCCAAATCTCTCTGTACTCATTATCTGAAACTTCTAAGAAACATTTTCCCATTAACCGAAACTTCTAAGAGGGCACTAAGCAGCTAGAGGAATACAAAGCAACTTTAAACTAAACTTACCGGTATCGCTGCCTGTTCTTCTCCAGCAAAGTGATATGCTAAACCTAAGCAGTAGGCAGCTTCTCCTTCCATCTTCATATCACCTCCTACAGAAAAGATTATAGTGACTAGTGCAGTCTGAGCAAAATTACAATACTATGGACAGTCCTTGCAGGTATTTAAATAACATGCAAATATTTAGGTGTTATATACGTGTTTCCTTCTCCTTATTCCTGCCATTTAATTCCTTGCATAAATACCTGTTTTCTAAAAACAGAGGAAACTAAAAACAAAGATTATGAATTTAAAGTTCAACAAGAAAGTTAACCAAATAAAGTTAGGAGAAGATGTTTGGCTGTGATGCAGCACAATCAATTTAATATGCTGTAAGGTTCTCTATCATGAATTGTTTAATAACACCGTCTTCACATTTAAAAAGCAAAAATTCACAGTAGAAAAGGCAGAGTAGAATCTCTCTCTAAATATAAAGAAGCTAAAAAGTACAATAATACTGTAATATATATTAACAAAAAGTTGATAAAGCATTATAATGTACAAACACAAAACATGTTGACTCAGATACTTCCCTAACCTGCACAGAATCTTAGTGAGAACCTTACTAAGAGGTAACTACTAGTGGATTGGGCTAAAATAGCCAAGAGCTTGGGTAAACTACCCTTGCAGTAACAAATAGGCCTTGCAAGTAGTCACAGAAAATTGCACACGAGCAGCGGCTAACTCATGTTACATTTTTCCATGCAAAACTTTATTTCAGTAACAAATACTGCTTGCTGGTCTTTTTATATTGCTTCTTCAATAGAAAAAACACACATTCAATAGTGAAATATATACAAATTAATTTTAGAAATGCTTATCTCAATATATCAAAAATATCCTTGCAGAATGTGAGCATCAATAAAAAAGTAATTTATAAACAAAATCAAAGAAGTGCAAAAAATCTCATATTTCCACTGCTCAATATCCATACGTTCAAACACAATGGAGAAACACAGGAAGAAGGCAGAAAAGGAACTTGAAACATTATTGACTATTAAGAAACTTTACAAAAAATCAAGTTTTCAAGCTCTTTGAATAATAAAATCACTGATGCCACTGAAATTCTGTGTCTGTTACAGAAGCCCTCAATGTGTAACATAAACACATGTTGGTTATGTGTAACATAAACACATACATGCATAAGAATGCTCACTGTAAAGACTGAAGAAGTAGGTAATACCTAATCCTAATGCAGGAAATACACAGACATAGATGCAGGTCCAGAAGGACTTAACAGCTACGAAAGATGAGCGGGCAGAGCCCATACGGGCTTCAATATGGGCTTCTGAGACAGAGGCTGCAGGTCCTGAACTGGGACTATGAAAGGAGATCTGCAAAGCTTACATGGCAACTGTGCTGAGCTTTGTTGTTTTACTGAATGCCCCAAGAAGCCAGAGAAAATCACTGATTTGAAGTAAAGGCACTGGGACATCTGCTTGGTCAAAGGAAGTTCTGGGAAGGCATCAGGCTCATTTTGAAAACTTCATGAATTTTTCCCTCAGTAGCAATAGACAGAACTTGAAGGGAGAGTTCATGAGGGACGATGAAGTCAGTGGGGCTGGAGCACAGACCTTACGAGGAGCAGCTGAGGGACTGGGGTTGTTTAGTCTGGCAGGAGAGGAAGCTCAGAAGAGATCTTATCGCTCTCTACAACTACCCGAAAGGAGGTTGTAGTAAGGTGAGAGTCCATCTCCTCTCCACTATCAACAGGACAAGCAGGAATGGCCTCAAGTTGTGCCAGGGGAGGTTCAGGTTAGATATGGCGAAAGATTTCTGCACAGAAGGGGTGGTGAAGCCTTGGAATAGGCTGCCCAGGGAACTGGCGGAGTCACTATCCCTGGCAGTGTTCAAGAAACGCATGGATGAGGCACATAGGAACGCGGTTTAGCAGCCACGGCGCTGATGGGTTTGTAGGCAGACTTCATGATTTTGAAGGTCTTTTCCATCCATAAGAATTCTACGAGCAGCATGTGCTCACAATTCTTCTCGGTATGTAGAAACTAGTAGCAGTAGTTTTACTGTATCCATGACTTAAGCATGTAAGATAGACAACAGTTTTGGAATAGCTAGAATAGCTTGTATGTGATCATCACATACAGCAGGAGAAATGGAGAAGCTTTGGGGTACACATGTTCTTCAGATAATTAATTGTATTGGCCTTCTCAGTATTCAGAGAAAAGATCTAAACAAGCAATTCTCCTAAGAGAAAAGACGTAAACAAGCAATTCTCAAAACAGATCTAATCACATAAATTGTGGATAGCACTGTAATAGGTTACTTAGTGGCTAAATTAAAAGAATTAGCTACTCTACCAGATAAACTCTGAAATGAAACATTTAGAATGGAAAGAATTGAAACCTTGCCCCTGCAAAGACACTGTTTGTTTTACTCCTTAAAATTACCACTTAATCATATTTAAAATTTAAATTATCTTAAAAAAATGAATCCTTCATGAAGGCAACATAAATAATTTTCATTCTTTAAAATTAGTATAATCATCGCTATAGTATCATCAAGAACCTGAAACAGATAAAATTCACTGACACTATTTCAAGTAATAAATGACAAAATGAACATAAGCTCATATCCAAGAGCTTATTTTTCCAATAGTATCTGCTGCTGTAATAGAGATGATTTCTTTTTTACACATTTTATACTGTTATATATATTGCTGTTATACTCCCTACTTGTACAATCATGCATTTGTGTTAAATTTTAAAAATATTTTCAAATTTTTGCATTTTTGATAGTTCAAATCTATCCCATTTACCACTTGAAAACTAGCTAATAGATTAACATTGGCCATATATTATTAAATTTCATAAATGAAGGTATCCCTTATTAAATTAATATATATAGTAATTGTATGTGCAATTTATATGCCAAATATTCCCCTTTAAGAATACTATGAAAGGATCTTGAATTGCTGATCTAGGAAAAGATGACTATTCAAGATCTTCTATGCTACTTCTCCAAAAACCTCCAATTATCATTTCTCTAGGAAAAGTAAGTCAATAGAAGCAGACAGCTAACAGCACCTTCTGACAGGTAAGTATCACTAAGTTACCTCAAAAATATTGAAAATGATGCATGTTCTGTTAAAATGAACACAGTGCTCCTGAGTAATACAGTACAGAGTTTTTTTTTAACAATAGAAAATAGTTTAGTTTTCACGATTATTAAATACCTACGTAGAATGAAAAGCTGGTGATCCAGCTGGTATCATCAATTAAAAACTGTCAAATTGGCAGCAACAAGTCAATCAGAATTTCAAATTCCACCAGTGACCACACTTTCCTGCTACAGGTTCACTCTTAAATTACATGCACAAGACTGTGGGGTTTTGTTTGTTTGTTTTGAGAAAAAGCTTTCAGGGATCTCTGTTGTCAGCAAGAAGGCATTTATGTTTTAGTCTGACTCAGGAGTGTATTGGTAGCATCTGACTGTAAATTTCGCAGAAAAAAAACACCCAGTCATATACTTGACAATTTTTGCCTTACTCCTGGGAAAATCATGGTATGCACATCAAATAAAGGTAGGTGAAAGTGTTATTTTCAACTTACCTTCTTTTGCCATTTTTAAAGCTTTTTTTAGTGTTTTGATGACCTGTTGGTATTGTTTATCTTCTAGCATTTTGTCTGCTAGAACTGTGTAAGTTTTCCAGAGATGTTCACATGCCAGTGAATTGTAAGTACGGCCCGTCTCATCCGTCCATGTTGAGCCCAATGTTAGCTCATAAAATGCTTCATAGTGTTCAACAGCTTTCATAATATCACCTGAAAAATGACATTCATAATTTCAACCAATAATCCACAAGCTACTAGTATCTAACCATTTTCTAATTAAAGTAGGCTGTATTGCAATAATTTCACAAATTTTTCAAGAATCTTTGATAAATAGCTTAGAGATCACTGGAAAATGTCAAATCTTACAGCTACAAATACTTTCTTTCGTTGGACTCATCACAAGAAGGACAAATCAGTTAACTTTAAGCATACAAAGGTTTAGAAATTAGTTTTCTTTTGTAGTTCAGTGTTGAGGATGTATGATTCCAAGGATATGAAGGCAGAATTTTCTAGAAAATTAAGCTACAATTGAATCATGAATATAGCCTTTGTGGATCTCATATTTCCAAATCACAAAAGTGCATAATTTACTACAGTTCAAACTGTTTCTCAGGTTCCTTTCTCCCTAATAAAAAACTGTGCTGAAAGATGCAGAGAACAAAGGTACCAAAGCTGCAGAAAGACCTTTACTGAAATAAATTAAAGTTATATGTAAAGAAATTTATTCAACAACGACTGCTAGGCAAACTCTGGTGAATTTATAAAGTAAATATACTGGAAGAGCACGAACCACTAATGCAGTAAGTAGCTTTGCAGCCTAACAGCAAACACCTCTGAGGCAAAATAAAGTTTGAAAATAAAGTTTATTTCACTTGGACATGCAAGAAGATCCTTACTTTCCCCTCTCCCCAACAGTGAAATTTATCTTTCTATACATGCAGAATAGGTGAATGCCAGGCTGTCCATCTGGACTGTGGAAAATCAAAGTCAACTTGAAAGAACAGAAAAGATTTTCCTCACACACAATGGGTATAGGATAACTGCAGGGAAGCAGGGAATCTAAGAGCATTTATATTAAGAGAAAAACACACCTACTGTTCCAAACACCATGTTACACATGGCATGGGAGAACTGTGAAGGTGACACTTCTTCCATCAGTTTGTGCCTAGCTGGCAGAGGAATCTGTCATATGGATCATCAATATATCCTTGAGAGACAGCTCAAAGAATCTGGAAAAAAGTCTTATTGTGACAACAGCTGCCAGACCCTGTAAATAGACAGGACCATATCTGCAAGTTCTTTCCCAAAGATCACGTCCTTGACATAAGAGAGTTGAATCGGAGTACAAGCAGTTCAATGATCCACTGGGAGTTAATTTAACAGGAAATAAGACAGAGAAGCAGACTTGCTAACCACCATCCAAAACTTTTTCAGTCTAAAGAGGCTTGGAAATAGTGTATGAAGGTTCTGCCTATCCATGAAGTGCTTACTGATTCACAAGTTAACAGAATTCCCGTTACACAAGCTGCTGAATAGATTTTAAGTATCAGTGAGGAAGCTAGTGTCGGTTTTGTGACAAAGGATGCAAAGCTGAGTCGAAGTTTAACACTAATAGCTAGCGTGTTATCCACTTCAGCACAGGCGGTTTCCTGCTTGAAATTCTTCCCAAATATTGCCATGCGTTGATGTGATGTAGTTTCACTAGAAGTGTAACAAACTCTTCAGAATAACAGAGGTGAATGTATACTTTGATTCATGAGTAACTCAAAAACTTCTAGTAAAACAGAAAGCAATAAATGAACAGTGTCACCTGGATTAGTAGCCTAAAACCAAATGTGGTATTGCAAATTTGAGCAATACCACAGCTTTGAAGTACATTCTTCTAGAGGGGCAGGACATCCCTGTAAAGAACATGTGCATGCCACGGAACTCCTGCTTAGATGGGCAGACCTATCCGATACGATAATTCTTCCTCATGCTCCCTCACTTGCAGTATCCCCCTGAGAAAGTTTTTGTCAGGCTGGAAATTGAACTCATATATTCCATGTACCCCATAGTTCTTAAGAGTTGACCTAACCATAAGAGCCTTGACCTGACATCCTTTTCGCCAGATCTCTGTGAAACCTCTTTAAAGAACAATCCATCTGCATCAAGCTTCAAAGTACAAAACCAGTGTATTCTTTCTGGTAGTACTGAAATGGAACTAAATTAAAACAGGTTTGACTCCATTGCACTGGGAAGAAATAAAGATAGTGCAGTGAAAAGCAATACAATCTGACAATCTGAACACAGAAAAACAAAGGAGAAGATGCTGAGCAAGAAAACAAACAGTAATTTAAAAAATACTAGTTAAACAAGGGAGAGATGGAATTCCTGACCAGTAAGCCATTATGTGACTGCAGATTTGCTTACTGAAGACTCTTTCAAGTTATACTAACAATTTGCAATCAGTAGAGCTGTCAAACTCATGAAAGGTAAAACATTTTAGATTTTGGAATTCAATACTCCACCAAAATAAACTGAAATTCCTCATCCTCATTGGCAGTTGATATATCAACCTACTTCCTTAATCCATAATGTTTATGTGAAACTCAAATGCTGCTGGGAAAATAATGTCTTCAGGGGGATGGAGAGTTTATTCATAGCGATGAGTTGGCTCAGCTGGAATCGCTTTGGCCAGTGCATTTTAATTTTTAAATATTGAGCGAGAGAGAGGGAGGGAGAGAGAGAGGTGGTGCAACACTGAAAAGCACTGAAGGAAAGTGTAAGCCAAATACAGCCCATGTTAGAATAAGAATATATTTGTGTCATTTGAACAGTGACAAGGTAGAGCTTTGAAACTGAAAGATAAAAAAAAAAAAAAAAAGGATGTGCAAAAAAAGAACACTGAGTAGATGAATCATTTGGAATGGTTTCTTGGAGGCATCTTTTACATTACTTCAAGAATTTCGGGACAAAATCTAGAAGGTGTTCTAGGAAGTCTATATTTGAAAATTTTACTTGGAAAAATCCTATCCTATAGAAATATAGGATATACAGAAATATAGGATATATAGGAAAAAATCCTGTACCAGGAATACAGCTATTTTCAGTTAGCCTAAAATATCCTAAACTAAGATTTTGAGAAACTCTAATAACTTTTCATATATAGTATCAAAGACAGACATGTAATTCTAACAATACATATAGTATCACTACTAAAATGTTAGTTTAATGTCGCTCAGAGTACAACAAAAGAAACCCTATCCACAATTGGAATTGCCTTTAAACAATTATGTGAATATACTTGGCCACTAGCAATAACAAATTTTAGAAGTTACTCTTATTTTCATAGCCATGACATATGTGTGCACTGGATTTGTGCTACAGTTTTCACTGAACTGAATTAGCGTTGCTTAGAGGTCACAAAAATGAGATCTATTCATTCAAGTAAAAGAACTACATGTAATTTTGTAAATTTGAAGAGAAACATTTTGCTATTGACTATGACTTCCTTTATATTTTTCCTCAACTAAAACATACTCCAGAAATACACATTTCTGTATTACAATATCTTGGACAAATCTCAAGCAGAAAGGGTATATATGGTGACTAATATTTGCCTCTCTTTCTTTTTATTTTTTTTTTTAAGTAGAAAGATTGACTAGATATTAACACAAATGGGTTTAAATGTGAAGCTGCCATAAAAGCAGGCACATAAATGTAATTCTCCCAGCCGCTATTTTGATGCACATTTTTGATTCCATGAATATTTTATGAAATGGCCCAAACTAAAGCCATATAACATTCCTGCATTACTGATGCTTGCGCCCGTAAGCTACAAACATTAGAGGCATGATTGAGTGCATTAAAATGAACTCATTCAGCAGTGCATTGATTACTTGAAGGAGGGGAGGGGAAAGAAAAAAAAAAAAAAGGAGGAGCTATTCTCACTTAAGAAAACAGCACGCAAATCTGAAGTTTCAATACAGAAATTACAGTTAGCAAATTTGAATAATGTGGTACTTAATAAACAAATGCAGTGCAAATCTGTCAAGAGTTCTCCACATACAGCTCTGACATTAATTAGGTGGGATGTTAATTAGGTCCATAGATTGCTTCCAGTAGGGTACAGGTAATTTAAAATGTCACAATCTGCAAAACGCGGTGCCCGACCCGTTCTCGCTCCATCGTTCCACACCCCAGCGATACCGACAGCGCCCACTGATCTCCTTATGTATCAGCTCGCAGCTTTACCAAGGAAAGCAACGTCACCCGGACACGAGGTCCAGATCCGTGTGGCGGCCACATTTCTCGGGCAGCACCAGTCAAAGTGGAAAGCACATTTAGTTCTAAACTGTGAACATTTGTTGAGGACTTGGGAAAACATTCCACTTCAGCTTAGAACAGAAATCAAAAGGAACAATAAAGCTTTAAGTATTTTATAGGATATTCTAATCTCAAATGACATCTTTTGTAGTAGCTTACTCATTGTACAACGTGGGCATAAAATCAGCTTGAAACAAGAGTTACTGGTAGCAAAACAAAGAAAAACGCTATTGCCACTTTAAAAGGTACTGGCTTACATTTCAGTTTAACTGCTTGAACTATTTGTATTATTTTCGATTTCCTGCATTCCACGATCACAATTATGGTAGCACTATTCATGCTGAAACAGTTAAGGATCTGTCACAGTTTCCAGTGCCAGCTGATACTTGCAGAGGCTTTTGTAAGTGGTGCTACCTTGAAAAGCACAGAGAGATGTGCTGGGAGGTAGCATAAAAAGCCCACAAAAATTATAAAACAAGGCTCCTTCAGTAAGTAGGTGTACCCCGAACTCCTGAGGTAAAATGAATTGCACAGAAGTCATTAGGATTGATCTCAGATGCCAGAACCTATCTGCAGGAGCAAGATGAACAAAAAGGTGAAACGGATTTAAGAGGAAATTTTGCTTTTCCATAACTCTATAATGTTACTCTAAAACAGAAATGATTATCAGGAGTAACTATGACAAGCATTTTTCAGATTAAGGATAAAAAGTTATTTTTATTTACAAGACAGAGGCTGATGCCTATTTCTTAACAAGATTCCATGGGGAGTTCTAGTAAAAATGGCATAGGTGGTTCATAACAATATTGCAATGAACATGTCCGTTCACCAGGGGATAGTCTCACGGCTTCTCCACCCTGATAATATACCACCAGATTTCTCCTGGAGTCGGAGAAGCTCAA